GCCTAGCAAAATGTGGACACTGATTCTGATTGGAGTATTTGCATGCTGCTGCAACATGCCTAAAAATGAAAGCATTTCCATTTTAAGAAAACTTCCTCCTCAAACCGTAACAGTAATAGGTGAAAATGATTGAATTCTTATTAAAGAACGCTTCAGAATGCTATGCATTAAGAACACACATGTAGCTGCATACTGTTTGCTTTTTTTGGTTTATGTGACTTGTACATTTTACTTTACTGAACTGTACTGAATGTACATCAAGTTTCAGTTTCTGGACTACACCTGCATATAACTTTCACCTACAAATTTCTCTTATACTAGCTTTGCAGTTGATATCTAGGTTGCTAGAAGCCTAGTTACCAAGTTGTTCTGTAAGACATCTGAGACCTTTCTTCCTTCTTTCCCTCTAAGTCAGTAGTTTTTCAAGACAGAATTAAAATCTATTTCCCAACTGGCCTGCATAAACAAACAGCCAATTTGTGCTTAATATTTTTATTGCTATTATGTAGATATGATTAATTTTAGTATCAGAACACTTTGGGCTGTACAAGACTGGAGTACCTTACAATCTAAATAACTGAAGTCCATTGGCAGGGAAAAGTCCTGAATTTCCTTTGTTACTGAAAAAAATTTAACAAGAGCTTAAATAACTGTTATGCAAATAAAGTCTACCCCCTAGCCTTTTATCAAAATAGTTAGTTACTATGACAACAATCTGCTGTTACAATATTATCAACAGTGATCTCTTCCATGAATGTTCATGGTAATGGAATTGGATGCAAATGTACCATGCATATTAAAGCCATTTTATTACACATTTACAAATAGCGTTATAAAACCCAATAGGCAAATCCACTTCTGAGTATCAGCTTTTTTATGAGGTTCAGATATATTAAAACAAGAGTTGAGATGAGAGTTCAATACAAATAAACACATGCCATTTCAGAACTAAATACTAATGCAAAAGCAGCAGCATCTAAATAGACGTACATTATACTTTATGTCTATCCCATAATTAAGTAAATATCAAGAAAAGTTTCAGAAGTTGTTTTAACTATTCTATAGTTACAGTACTAATGTCATTTCTTAACAACTTCAGCATCATTTTCCTGGAAAATAGAAGTACAGTCAAAAGTATGGAGTGACAGTTTCACTTCCTGACTTGTAAGCATTATCACAGAAATGAGATAAACAGCTATGACACATTCTAGGTATTTTACTTTGTACACATACTGTATTTATGTAAATCCAAGATGGCCTTGAATTGAATACAACCCCCCAATAATTAGATTCTAGACATGGAAAATTATAAATGTTATAAATACAGGAAAGCAACAGCAGCAGGGGAATGAGTGGATGGGAAAGCAGGAACAGGAGGGCAGGTAGTGAATAGGCAAGAGGCATGGGCAGTTTGACACCCACCACTTACCTACACACCCTGGCTTCTGCCTCTGCCATCACCTGCTGCCTCTGCCTTCTCTTTTTCCTTCTTACTGCCCCCCCATCACACCTCCCCCTCACCCACTGTCCCTAGCCAACTTGGACACAGAGGAAGCCCCAAAGCTGCTCCTACCCAATGCTGCAGGGAGCCCAGCTTGGCTGGAGACAGCACACAGAATCCTCTTCTCCTCCCCCTCACCCCAACTTAACCAACTGATGTTGGACTGCTCCAGCTGGAAGATGTAGGAAGCAGCCATGCAGGAAGCCCAGCTCAGCCAGGGACAGCAACAGCAGAAACATGCAGATTCCTCCTTGCCACAGGCTGCTCCCTGACCAGCTCCTCTCTGACCAGCTCCTCTCCCCACCCTCCACAGTCTCTCTTGCTGGCAGGGAGCTGGACAGGAAAGGAATCCATTTGCCACTGTCACTGTCCACACTAGGAGCTCCTGCATAGCCACTCCCCACAGCTCCCAGCTGGAGCAGTCTGATACTCAATTTTAAGATGAGGTTTGGTTTTCCCCATGGCTATATTGTAGCAGCACACTGTGCAAGCTCTTAGGTGCCAATTCCCCCAACACTGAAGGATGTGCCTCACTCACCATGCCATAACAACTGCCCCCCCCAGCAACAGCATGTAGCAGAAGCTGAGGGGAGAGAAGGGGAGCCCCGAGAGCCCAGGGAGCGCATGTTAATTCCTCAGAGGCTGCATGCAGCCTGCCGGTTGGACAGCCCTGATCCAAAATGAATACAATTCCTCTGAGGAGAAAATCCCGAGGTACAGGAACTAGGTGAGCTTCAGATTTTACATTACAGATAGCGACTAGCTAAAACAAAGTTGGGTGAATACACACACACTTAAAAAAAAAAATACACACACGTTTCCCTCACTTTATGCAGGTTCTCTATGTGCAAATTTGCTCTTATGCGATGACCCTTTTTATACTAAAAATTCATTATATGCAATGTAAATTCACTCTTATGTGATCAGTGCAGTGGATGCCTGCAGGCAGTTGCTTTGTGCAATGCATTGTGGGAGTGACGCACACCAACATATAGTCTCCTGTGTGGATCCATGCTCCTTGCTCGTTGTCTCCAACATGTTTCTGTAGTTGCCATCCCCATTATAATACAACCCTGTGCTTGTGCTATTGGTGAGTAGCAAACTTGTCTTGTAAAAGTGGTAGAAATGGTCTGCGGGTCAGTACAGTTGAGGTCTTGGAACATAACCCTATTTGTTACATTGTAAAGTGGGTTCCCTTTATGACAACTTGAGTTATACACTGTTTTCCAGGAATGCATGTACAGCATAAAGCAAGGGAAACGTGTGCGTACACATGCATGTTCATCTATCATAGGTCTGGAAAGGACCTCATGAGACCATGTTCAGCCCCCTGCTCAATATGAGATCACTCTTAACTAAACCACCCCAGTCAAGCGTCCGTCTAAACTGCTCTTGAAACTTTCCAGGGATGGAGATTCTACCACCTCTGTAGGTAGCCTGTTCCAACAGGAATAGGGACCATGACCATCCTCATAGTCAGAAAATTCTTCCTAATCTTCAACCTAAATTTCCTCTGCTGCAGTTTGAGGCCCTGGCTCTTAGTCTCATCTGCTACAGCCACAGAGAAAAACCCATCTCAATCCTCTCTAATTGCCCTTCAGGTATCAGAAGAACTATCAAGCGTCCCCTCAATACTCTCTTTTCCAAACTACACAATCCTAGGCCTTTCAGCCTATTCTCACGAGTCATGTTTTCCAACCTCTAATTACATTTACTGCTCTCCATTAGACTCTCCCTGATCTGTTCACATCTTCCTTGAACTATGGGGCCCAAAACTGGACACAGGACTCTAAGTGAGGCCTCACCGGTGCTAAATAAAGCAGCAGAATCATTTCTCTTGATTTTGCCCTAGTACTGAGAAGCCTGGTTAGAAACATCCAGCCAGCAGCATAAGTAGGACAGAGCAATGGGACAACTGACCGACAGTAGAGGGAAGAAAGGGAGAGGAGGGAATAGCTGCCGCTGGAGTTGCACAACTGCTGTGGCAGCACAACAGCATTCAGAAGCTGCTGTAGAACTCATTATGTTGCAGCTGCTTCAAGCACTTGGCTGCATTGTTACACCTCTGCATCCAGTAATGGAACTCTAGTTCCCAAGAATCTGTAAGATCTACAAGAGTTGTGAAAACATCTTAGTGGACAAAAAAGGCAGTATTATAAATATTATCAATACTGTAACCACCAGTACTGCTACTAGTTCTTCAACTATATTTATATTCAAATGTGATATTGAGCAGTCTAATGTATATGTATATAATGTACTGACAACTGAAGGTTGTTGGTAGGGGGATACAGGAAGGGGATGCAGTCACCAAAAGCATAAAATGTAGTACAGCTGCTAAGTAAAATGACCCACAAGACCAAAAACCTCACAGGACATGTATGGTTTTTGAAAAAAACAGCTCAAATGATGTGTAACGATTCCCAGCCTCCTCCTTGGCAGATAACCAGAGACAGTAATTGGTGTCAGGACCCGAGTGAAGATCTTTGTACCTTCCTTCCTGCTTCAGGCAGCAGGAGCCAATGACTGACCCAAGCAGAGTTGACAAGATTCAGTGTTTGTTAGCAGCATGAGGTCTCTGAGCCAGCAGATTTCTTATTCCCCCCAAGTAGCATGCATTTCTTTTATCCTGGACACTTGTTGAAACTGGCTTTGAAGCAGAAAGAGGCTACTGCTGAGGGAGTACCTCAGAGTCAGATATACTCTACATAGACTTCTCTGTCAGAAATTATTTCAAAATAGCCTTTACAAGCCCTCTGTGTGCAATCACAAAAAGAATTACAGGCACCACACTTCAAAGTGATGCCCAGGTCATAATTATCCTACCTTATTTAGAGAAGGGGTGAAGGGAGTTAACTTTAAGCCTTTTTAGCAGGTATACCCCAAATTAAGCATCACACTTTCCCCAAGTGAAACTCTGATCCCCTTCTTCTGCCTTATCTGCTGCTCTGCTTTTTGCTCCCTGCCCTCTTCCTGATCTGCTATATGCTACACAGAGGCTGTTCATGCCACTGGTTTAAAGGATGCTTGTGCAGCCACAACCAGTGCTACTGTTTAAAGCATTACAAAATTGCACAGACAAGGCATTTGTAAGCAAGAGAATAGTAACTTCTGCAGCTATCTGCAAAATAGGAGCAAGCTACAGCACACAACATAACTTGATTCCAACTTATTCTATTATTTTCTAATGGAAAGAGTCTTATTAAATAAAGCTAAAGCTTGTATATGCTTTTGATGAACTCCATACATGCCATTACAACAATAGTATCTGTCTATAACTAAGGTTGAATTTCTGACAGAATCAAATTCTCAAAAAGAAAATATTGTGATTACGTTCTCAGACTGAAAAATAATAGTTCCCTTGAATCTGGTAGCATATGTATAATAATGGTGGCATAACTACATGCTATAACCATGTAAGATAATATTTAAATACAATGCTACAATTACAATAATATTTAAATATTCTTATGAAAATGCAAAAGGAAATTCAACCTGCCTTTTTTCTGTGTGTTCTGTTCCTGTTTTCCAACCAATCGTCCATCTGTTCCTCAATCTCTTCAATAGAAGTTCCATGATCATAAGATGGTACATATGCACTGGATTCTGAAGCTGTGTATATAGGGAATTCAGATTTTGGCTTCTTGATTTTAGGCTTCTTCTCCTCTACAAAACAAAGAGAAATAATCTCTTACTAGCATTACCTAGAAACATGACTTACAGGTGCTATTAGCTTCCCCATTGTTAAAGCCAACTTAAGATTGTCAGTTATAAAATGAGATGGAGAGGGAGAGAAGAAACACAAAGGTTTCATACATTTCCTAATTTCACACATTAGAATAACCCTGACTGGAATCAAGGTGAAGCAAAGAGGTGACTTACAGGCCTGTTTTTACTTCCCTAACCCTATGCTGTTCTGTGCAAAAAACCTTGAAAAAGCAAAAATCTTTGGGCTGATGTGTAGCAATTTTTTCTTAAGTTCTCTAGTTTAGAATTAGCTTAGTCTTAACATCTAAAGCATTAGGCTGATATAGATGTCCAGGCCTATTTGCAGAGATGATGAGCACTTCAGCTCATATGGAGAATCGGGGATTCTTTGTGATATCTCTTATTGGATCAACTGCTTTATTGGGAGAGCATATTGCTCTTCAGCTCCAGTTACACATGCTCATCACCTCTGAAATTCAGATGCCAAACATCTCATAAGTAAAGTGTTGCAATTTTGAATTTGTAAAATTTTGTAAAGAGGAAGAGGTGAGACGTCTGTCCACAGTTAACCAACAGACCCCTTCCCCCACCACTGTGAATGAAGTTGACAGGATTTGCTCAAGCCCAAGCAGGATATGTTCATAGGATGTGTCAAGCCCATGGCAGATGGCTATTTTAAATTCTTTTCTTCAGAGCTCCTGAGTACCATAAGAGGAATGCTTTTTTGTTTTTCTCAAGCAAGCCTTAGGAAATCTACAAAAGAGCCATTACCCTGCTGTAGAGAGATTTTTAAATGTACAGGGAAGACACTATGAAATATTTTATGTACCAGGCGAGGCTTTTATAGAAACTCTTAAAAAAACTGAGATTACAGAATACAATACATGGAGAAAAACATTTTTATGATGATCATTAGGGATCAAAATTCTTTAAAAACACAAGAAGAAATTAGCACACAAAACATTTAAGTTTTAAAATTAATAGATAAAAGACTAATGACCCTCTAAGCATTTAAATATACTTAGGAGAACTGCTTTGTGACACGTAAACCTGCTTGAAATTTTAAAATGTTTAGGAAATTAATCTCAGTTTGTGAAAAACTTAGTATGCTCTGGGAGTTCCTATGGCATTTCTGCAAAATGCAAGGCAAGTGTGCTCATAGAAAAATATGTTGCAAATACAAAATGAATAAATAAATAAAAATAAATATTTAAACTTTTTTTTTTTTTTAAACCAGGATGAAACTTAATATTGCATTATTTGATTACTAAAAATGGAGGTACAAAAAGTCACTTTAAACATTGCAGTAAAGTTAAACCCCACCCTCAAGTCATAACTTAGAAATACTTTCAACATATACACCATTAATTTGCATGCTTTGCGTCCTCTAAAATTATATACCTTTGTGAAATATATTGTGAAAAGAATAGCTTATGGGTCAGAGTTCAGATTGTAAATGTAAAGCTGATTTTAACCATCAGTTACTAAAAGAAAACATATGAACTTCAAAGGATACTAGAATATTTATAAGTTACCCTAACTTATTTCCATTCATAATAAAGTTAATTTCCGTCTTGAAAAGTACCTTTGCAGAAACAACATCTTTGTGTATACTCAGAGTTACAGTGGATTAATTTGGGATCAATATAAATTTTTACTACTATTTAGCTCCTTGGTGATGACAACACAGATAAAACAAACTAAACAGAATACTATCACTTTGTGAGCATCACCAACAGTTGTTTGCTAACTTCCTTCTGTAAAATGGATTAAAAAAATGACTAGAAGACAAAGCGGTTGTACAAACGTAACTGAAGGCTTTATTTGTCCTTGAGAATCTTTGTCACTTGTAATGATACAAAATGGGAAGACCCCAGAGGCTGACTTTCAGATCCTGCATTAAGTTTGCAGTGGCTATATTAAAAAAAAAAAATACTGATTCAGTGGTTCAGAACAAAAAGTGCTAAGAAGTTATCTAGATCTAGATGATAACTGGATCTAGATATATCTAGATCTAGATGATAACTAAATCTATATATATCTAGATCTAGATAACCTTTTAGCACTTTTTGTACTGAACCACTGAATCAGTAAATACAGAACTTCACATTCTAACATCCTCTCCCCCCACCTCCCCACTTCCCCACTCCAACCCACATTCAGAGTAGAAACATGCTTATTAGTAATTATTACAGACTTCCCCCAGGCCTATTTTTAGTCACATGCCCTTTGGAAAGGTTTTTTTGTTTTGTTTTGTTTTTTAATATATATTCCTTTAGCCCTCAACTGCTTTTTTTTGATCTATAGACAGCCTTGCATAATCCTAATACAAATGCAGGTAAGAGAACATAAGGTCAGATTTCAAAGGCTGTTCCCCAGCACTGTGGGGATAGTTATTGGAGACCGAGACCAGTTTGTACCAAATCGCTGGTAGAAGTCACGTGTGCAGACGTGCAAGCTTTCTCCAGGAGGAAAAACGGACACTCCAGGAAAAAAATGACTTGGCAACTACCAGGATTAAATCACTCATGGGACACTGAACATCTGCACACTTCCCCCAAGCCTCTCTCTTCCTAGGGACCAAGAGGCATGGAGCTAGGGAAAAGGCTCCTTGCTTTCCCATGATTGGACTCATCCTGGTCTTGAAAAGGCATGGGTGGCAGCTGCTTTCCCCCTCCCATAGACTGGGAGGTGAGGCAAGCAGCAACCACCACTGCCAGCCCCTTCCTCAAACCAGGCAGTCCCCAGCTTTGGGAAGATGTAGGTAGATTTACCCGTTTCCTCTTGCCATCCTCACCACCCAGCTGAAGGATGGCACGGCAATTTAAAAGCTGGCAGCCAGGAGCAGGACTTTAAGAAAGTCTCCCAGACTTGGGGCTCCTTGGTCCTGCTGGCTCCCTCATGCTGGGGGGGGGGGCATTCTCCTGGAGCTAGAACCCTCCCTGGATGTCTTAGGCAGCTGCTGTTTTTCAGCAGCTGCCAACAGTAACTTGACAGCCTGCTCCTTTCACTGGCAGGGAAGAAAGCAGGCTGTCAAATGAGGGTCTCCCAAGGGCAGAGGTGGCCCAGGGAGTAGCTTTCCACTGTCCCCTAACTGGACAGCTTGCCTGAGAAGCCCTCTAGCCATGGGGCTGGAAGAATGTCTGTACAGTCCAACTCCCAGGCCATTTTTCTACTGGAAGAAGTTTCTTCTGGTAGAAATAAATGCCTGTAAGCAACCTTAGTAAACTGATCATGTTCACAAGTAAGATATTTAGGTATCAAATAACCTTAACAAGAACCACAGTTGTTCACACTAAAGCGTGCAATGTTAAAAAAAAATCTTGGTTAAGGCTTGCCCCAATGGAGGAGAAGTAAATCATCTATTATCACTGGGTTTTTTTTCTAAATACCAGTTTCTTAATGCCAACTTGTACAGGTTTTGACTCTTAGTTCATAATATAGACCGTATTTATTCTATTATAAAATAAAGCTTTCCCCCTCCCAATCAGCACAGGGAAAAAAGCTCATCTTCCATTCACATACAAGTAAACTTTATTAATTACACTATCATTAAACTGCTGCCAAAAGTAACATGTGCTCAAGTAATAGACACCTACTATGAAGTTGATTATATGTAGCCAACACCAAGCATGACTATAAACTACATAACCCATACTGGGTAAACATACTAATGGAAAGTCTGCCCCCCACCCCTTTTTGTTAATTATTATTAGAAGGGGCAGGTCTTCCCTCCACTGGGAACTGGCCCCAAACCTGGAGGTACTGCAATACCAGCCTGGCATCGGGAGAGCCAGGGCCAGCTCTGACACCCTCCCTTTGGTGCCAAAAAACAGACTGACTTTTATCAGATGTTTTGGATTGGGAATCCAGAAAAAAGATGACAAAGCTGATATGGAAATACAAAGCGCCCGAGCGAGGGACTAACAATAGAGGGATGGGGGAGAGGAGGGGAACGCGACTAGGTTACAAGCAATACAATGTTAGCCAACTAAGCCCGG